AAAGACCCTGAATAGCCAGAGGAATGTTGAAAAAGAAAAGCAAAGCTGGCAGCATCACAATTCCGGACTTCAAGCTCTATTACAAAGCTGCCATCATCAAGAGAGTATGGTACTGGATGGGTTAGCCTGGTGATGGGTATTAAAGAGGGCACGTTCTGCATGGAGCAATGGGTGTTATACGCAAATAATGCATCATGGAACACTACATCAAAACTACACTACATCAAAAACTAATGATGTAATGTATGGTGATTAACATAACATAATAAAAAAAAAATTCATAACCTTCCTGTGTCTCAAGTTCCTCTGCAAAATGGGTTGATAACCATACTTACCTCATACAATTTCTATGATAATCCAATAGATGAAGTACCGAGGTGCCTGGCACGTAAGCACTTTGTGTCAGCTATTACCATCACTACTGTACTACTTACAGAGGTTATTCACCTCTTTGTCGAGGGAAAAGGTTTATATCTGGCCTCCAGAAACCTCTCCACGTTTACCACTTGTTTCAAAAATGTTCAGTGTGTATACACATGGGTGTATATAGCTAACCAAAGATAGGTGTGGCCTCTGAGACTAGGTATGAAAGAACCCAGGATCATAAATCAGTCAGATCCATGCTCCAGCAACCAATGGGAGGACTCCACAGAGATGCAGCTGATGTTTCTCTGTGCTCCCCACCACAGCCCTGTGCCAACACTTACCATACTTTAATCATCTTTTCAGTGACAGTGACCTTCACAGAGTCCAAGCTCCTAGAAAGCAAGGACTGTGTCTTGGTCATCTCTATAGTCTCTGTGCTTTACAAAGTATGTAGTGTACGGTCAGCCTTCCATAAACACTCAATGCATGAGCACAGAGTAAGGAACATAAGCAACACATGGGCTAGGGGAATGATTTACTATCGGTTATTAGCAAAATTTTGGATCACTGAACTTTCCTTAAGAATGGTAGCAGATGACTGAGAAAGAAAAATTATCTTTAGTTAAGGACTGGCTCTGACAAGAGCTTGATGACAAAGAAGCCATTCTTCCATTACCTGTGCAGGTGGGGGACAGGACAGCTGAGTAACAGGGCCCTGGGAAGAGCAGAAACCTCTTTTCCTCTTTCCTCTGAAATCTCAGAAGTTAACGTTCTACTCCAGGTGATGTCTGCATCACTTCTTGACATACTGCTGATTTTATTATGAAAATGAAGTGCTAAAGACAAAGGATATTTCCATTCCTCTGGACAGGAGGCCACAGGCCAGCGCTGCTTCACCCATGTGTATACACATGTGTGTCGTGTACCAGGCGGGAGTGGCTCCTCCCTCCCTTCAGCTCCATCTACACAGCTCTTCTCTAAAGGTTCCTTGGATTTCGTGAGCTGACAATAAAGGTCATTTTCTTTATTCTTCAGTCTCTGTCTTGATAAACTTCCATATGTACAGATTTTGCCTGCTTTCTCAACTAGTTTGTCCTTTCTGGCTTGATTCTTCTTTTCTGACAATACTATAGACGAGTCTGACTTCTGGCTTACTTTACACAAAAAATGTACTATAAATTCATGCTGCGATCTGGGAAGGCAAAGGTATGCGTGCCCATCCAACGATGCTATCTTCACGCTGCCCCTCTGCGTACATACCACACCATCAGCAGTGTCAGGACTGGGCCATCTCACTTCTGAGAAGTCAATGAAGATACGCTGAGTGGAGGGGAGAAAGAGAGATGGGGAGCATTTTGTCAGCAGTCCAATGTTTCCATACATTTGATGCTTATATATTGTGTAAGAAAGCTCTTGAAGTTGGGTTTGTGTTTTACTACCTAGAAAGAATGAAAAATGGCGAGCCAGGTGTTGGCCTATATGTATTTTTCCACAGAATATTTGATATTGTTAAGATTATTTCTCTTAGAGAGATGTAAAACACACACACACACACAGAGATAAAAAATGAAAGAGAAGAAAAAGAGATAGATTTTCAGCCCTTCCCAAAAGTCTACCCTGAAAAAGAATATTAATGAGGGAAGACCAGCACTACAATGTACAAACACCACCACAATGTACTGTATTAAAAGCAATCACAACTTAAATGGTATGGAACTAGTATAAAAATCATTGACAGAGCAACTCAGATAACAAGGAAACAGAATCAACCATATCTTAAGATGTTACATGTGATTACATAAACTTTTCAAAACAAGGAGGGAAGGGGAGAATGACTTAATAAATGGTACTGGAATTACTGAATAGCATGTGGGAAACGCTATCTCAAAGGGTTATCCAATAGATTAAATAACATGTATAAAGTACTTATCCTAGGTAGCACCTGGCACACCATACCCTAAAATAAATTCCAGGTAGCTTAAAGGGCAACATTTTTTAAAAACTGAATTACTAGGGGTGCCTGGGTGGCTTAGTCAGTTGAGCGTCGGGCTCTTGGTTTCAGCTCAGGTCATCATCTCACGTGTCGTGAGATCAAGCCCTGTGTCATCGAACTGTGTCGGGCTCTGCGTTCAGCGGGGAGTCACCTTGGGGGTTCTCGCCCTCTGACCCTCCCCCACTTGCACGCACCCTCTCTCCCTCTCTCTCTCAAATAAATAAATAAATAAATCTAAAAAAAAAAAATTACTCAAAGGTAAACTGATCCTGACCAATAGCAAACAGACTCGTAACAGGTGCCAGTGCCTACTACATCTCCTCATATAAGATAAAAACAGTAGGTGTCACCTAACAGTCTTTTTTTTTTTTAACCCATAAATTTTTTTTATTATTATGTTATGTTAATCACCACACATGACATCATTAGTTTCTGATGTAGTGTTCCATGATTCATTGTTTGCGTATAACACCCAGTGCTCCATTCAACACGTGTCCTCCTTAACACCCATCACTGGGCTGACCCATCCCCCCACCCCCCTCCCCTCTAGAACCCTGTTTGTTTTTCACGTAACAGTCTTTTAATCAATTAATCTTGGCAACAGTTAAACACTTCAGCTTCCATTTATATAAAACCTTAAATTTACAAAAGCTAGTGTCAAGAAAGCCTCTTAAACTTATAGTGCTATTTATGTGTACAGATGTTAGTACAGTATTCACTGATGGCAAAGCTGGCTTGTAAGGATGGTCAGTTAAGATGGTTCTCTCTTCGGGACACCTGGGTGGCTCAGTCGGTTAAGTGTCTGCCTTCAGCTCAGCTCATGGTCCTAGGATCCTGGGATGGAGCCCTGCACTGAGCCCCATATCGGACTCCCTGCTCTGCAGGGAGTCTGCTTCTCCCTCTTCCTCTGCCTCTCCCCTCACTCAGGCTCTCTCTCTCTCAAATAAATGAATGAATCTTAAAAAAAAAAAAAGTTATCTCTTCCAGAATTAGATTATCTAATAATCCTACTACAGCATCAGCAGCAAATACTCTTATAGACTAAGTTACAGCTTACAATTTTTCTTGGCTCCTTTGCCATCATGACAGTAGTGGAAAATGATTAAAAGACATAGCCTTCAGAGTCAGATAAACTTGGTTCAAATCCTGACTGCCTTTTAGAAAATGTCCACGAACAGATTAGGTAAACCCTCTGAGATTTAGTGCCCTCACCTGTAAAAATATACCTGAATATACGTGTTTTGACTGGCTGGACATCCATTTTGATTATCAGGAACCCATGCCATACTGACTGGTGTTATTAAATATTTTTAACATCATTCCTAATTCTTGGCACAAAGTAAATCCTAATAAATGATAGCTATATTATTATTCATAAAACTTCAAAATAGAATATAAGCAAAAAAATAAAATGTGCATATCTATAAGTAATTAAACATCTCTATTGAACAGTAACTGCACATAAACTACTGAACTATGTACCTTCAGGGTCTCATCAATATTTAACATACCAGAACACCCTAGTCTGGTGAAAAATATAAGCCTATGCATTCTACAGCAACATGTGTATTCCCAAGTCTCATAAAGAAAAATATTAAATATGAAACTACCTGTTTCTAATTACTTGCCCTTAAATATTACTTATAAAAAAATCTTTGAAAAATTACCTTTTTTCTTTCAGAAGGTATGATGGTTTCAGATAAAAAAGGGCAAACAGCAAAAGAATTTCGAAAATCTAGGGCTCGCTGTAGTTGCTCCTACAAAAAGAAATACATAATGTAACCTTAAAAAATGTAAAATAATTTGAAAATCAATTTAGAGTGACAGTAATCTGGAATACTGATTACTTTCCATATTCTGACTACCTCAACAATATTCTGGCATCAGAAAGAGTTGTTTCTGTGTCATCTTTACTTACTCGGTAAGTGCTAATAACGAAGTGTGTCCTTTGACGAATTCTTTCTGGTTGTTCTAAAGGATGTGCTGAAACAGGAGGTGCCTTTTCAAATAAAAATTCAGAGCCACATGGAGAAAGCTGCAGTCTGGAACCATCAACATATTGCACTTGCACTGAATCGTCTTCATAAAGTACCATTCGCACTTCCGCTGCCATTACTAGGACTATGGATAAAATGTCCTTCCAGGGTGAAGACTGAAGGAAATAGGAAATAGGGTAGCACAAATAGTTCCTTTAATGTACAAAAGTTCTATAATAGAAAATGGATGCATTTTCTAAGAACATAAGCAAAATGTATTTCCCTTGTATTTTTGTTGGAGGAAAAGGGATTATTGGGGCACCTGGGTGGCTCAGTCGGTGAAGCGTCCGACTCTTGGTTTTGGCTCAGGTTGTTATCTCAGGGTTGTGAGATCGAGCCCCACATTGGGCTCTGCACTCAGCCCAGAGCCTGCTTGAGATTCTTCCCCCCTCCCTTTCCCTCCCCCTCTGCTCCTTTCCCCATGCTCTCTCTCTCTAAAATAAAAAAAAATTTCGGTTGCCTGGGTGGCTCAGTCGTTAAGCGTCTGCCTTTGGCTCAGGTCATGATCCCAGGGTCCTGGGATCGAGTCTCACATCGGGCTCCCTGTTCGGCAGGAAGCCTGCTTCTCCCTCTCCCACTCCCCCTGCTTGTGTTCCTGCTCTCGCTATATCTCTCTCTGTCAAATAAATAAATAAAAAATCTTAAAAAAAAATTAATTAAAAAAAATTTTTAAGAAGCAAAATAAATAAATTTTAAGAAGTGATTATTTTACTACATACTTTTAAATTATCTGACATTAACAACCTGAACAGAATGCCTTGATTAACCCCGAGGGCTTTACTCCAATGTGGAAAGATAACCTAAAGGGATAAGAAAGCTCACCAAGTTATAACTGCCTTTATACTTTCAATAGCTTTAGTTCTCCTGAAGTTTAATTTCTGTAAATTATATGCTCAGCAAGTCAATTCATATAATAAGCAAATTCCATCTTTGTGATAAGAATACAGCAAATCATTTGTAATATATGCAAAAGGCAGGCCAAAAGTAACTAGTAGGCCTAAGAAAAAGAACACTGAAAAAGAAATCCCAATACCTGGATTTTTGTTCCTAGTCTGACATTAAGGACGTAGTTCCATGTCACTCCTGAGTAAGCTAAGTAATCTTCTAGTGTCTTAGACTCACTCTTATTTCACTGAATTCAATTTCCTCTTCCCTACCTCTAAAATGACTGTCATCGCCTACGCTTTCCATAAAGGGTTGACTGAAGGGCAATTAGAGGGTTGGGTTCCATTCATACTCCACCATATACTAGCTAAATGCTTCAGGCTGTTTGTTTCCTTATTTGTAAAATGGGGCATAGTAACAAGACTGTTGCGAGGACTGAACCAGACAACACATATGCCAGTGCCAGAATTGCAATGTCGCTTTGTAGGAGCCCAATCTTTTTTTTTTAAGATTTTATTTATTTGTCAGAGAGAGAGAGAGCACAAGCAGGGGGAGTGGCAGGCAGAGGGAGAAGGAGGCAGGGGAGAAGCAGGCTCCCTGCCATGCAAGAAGCCTGATGCAGGACTCGATTCCAGGACACTGGGATCATGACCTGAGCCGAAGGCAGACACTTAACTGACTGAGCCACCCAGGCGTCCCATGAACCACCCAGGCGTCCCGGAGCTCAGTAAATCTTATGATTCCTTTCTAACACCGTCGCCATCCTCTCTGACACTTACCCATCTCCCTCTAGAACATCATCCTTTTTTGTTTTAATATTTATTCATTTAAGAGAGGGAGAGAGGGGTGGGGGAGGGGCAGAGGGAGAGAATCTTCAAGAAGACTCCCCGCTGCGCGTGGAGCCCAACGCAGGGCTCCATCTTACCACCCTAAGATCACGACCTGAGCTGAAACCAAGAGTTGGAAGCTTTACCAACTGAGCCATCCAGGTGCCCCGAGGACATCATCCTTTTTAAGACTTTCCTTTCTAAACACTAGCCCATCCTCTTCTAGGGCATTATCTCCTACTACTCAGGTGGTCAACTTTCACCTGACAGAAAAAAGTAACTTTCCTCAGTTTACTTTTTTTTTTTTTTTAAAGATTTTATTTATTCATTTGAGACACAGAGATACAGAGAGAGAGAGAAAGCATGAGCAGGGAGAGAGGCAGAGGGAGAGGGAGAAGCAGGCTCCTCGCCGAGCCAGGAGCCCGATGTGGGGCTCGATCCCAGGACCCTGGGATCATGACCTGAGCTGAAGGCAGATGCTTAACCATCTGAGCCACCCAGGCGCCCCTCTTCAGTTTACTCTTTTTGCCTACCAAAAAACTTCTCCAGTATAATATCCACTCATTGTCCACTTTCTCTCCCATCCGTCTTCAGTCCATTGCAATCCAGCCTTTCTCCACCTTTCTACTGAAATTGTTTCACAACGGTCACCAATGTCTTCCCACACACAGTAACTTCAGTCTTCATCCTACTAAACTGCTCACTCTGTGATAGTGCTGTCCACCTTCCCCCGCACCAAACTCTCTTTTCCTCTGCCTTTTATTTTTTTAAAAAAGGAGGGAGTGCCATGGTTTCTCCCACTACATCTACCTCTATTTTTATTTTAATTTTTTAAATTTTAAGTGGACTCCACACCCAACGTGGGGCTTGAACTCATGATCCTGAGATTAGGAGTCACATGCTCTACTGACTAAGCCAAACAGGGACCCCTACCTCTGTTTTTAGTTTAATCATTCCTTTCACTATTCTCTTAAATCAAGGATTTAAGACCTGACCTTAGTCCCATATCATCTCTTACTATAACCACTCATGTTGCTTTTATGCCCACCCTCGCTTTTTAAAAAAAATCTTACACCCTTACAATGTATGTAATCAGCTACATATGACTGGCCTATAATCCTCTGTAAAATATGTCAGAATATAAGTACACGTTAAGCCATATGGTCTCTCCTGAGCAGATTCACACAATTTTATTAATTCCCCTCTCTAGAAAACTTCCAAATCCACCTGACCTCTCCCCAGAACTTTAAGCTGCCTGCTAGACCTCTCTTCATGTCCTTGTCCCACAGATAAATCAAACTCAATTAACATAACTAAAATGGAACATTGTCACTCCCACCAAAGCAGACTTCTGTAACATCTCCTCATTTCACTTTCACTCTTACCTCCCTCAAGTCCAGTCTACACACAGTAGCCAGAGGGATCTTTTAAAATAAAAATGAGATCTATCACATCCTGGCTCACAATCTACCATTTTGCACTTAAATAAAATTCCAAACCATGACCTATAACAGCCACACAATCTGGCCTCATCTTCCCCTCCAAATGTCATCTTCTATCTCTCTTCTCTTGTTCAGGACACTTTAGCTACAGTGGCTTTTTTTTTTTTTTAAAGATTTTATTTATTTATTTGAGAGAGAGAGAATGAGAGACAGAGAGCATGAGAAGGAGGAAGGTCAGAGGGAGAAGCAGACTCCCTGCTGAGCAGGGAGCCAGATGCGGGACTCGATCCTGGGACTCCAGGATCATGACCTGAGCCGAAGGCAGTCGCTTAACCAACTGAGCCACCCAGGCGCCCCTACAGTGGCCTTTTTAATGTTTTTAAAACAAGCTGTTTCCTATCTCAGACCCTTTGCACTGTTCTTTCTGCCTAGCATGTCCTTTCCCTGGCTTATCACATGGCTGGCTCTTTGTCTTTTAAGCTTAAATATCACTTCCTCAAAGGCCTGACTTGTTCAGCTCAATTAAAGTTGTTCCCAACCACCTCCCAATCACTTTTTTTTTTTAAGATTTTTTTTTTGTCAGAGAGAGAGGGGTGGGGGGAGAGAGCGCACAAGCAGGAGGAGTGGGAGAGGGAGAAGCAGGTTTCCCATGGAGCAGGGAGCCCGATGCGGGACTTGATCCAAGGACCCTGGGATCATGACCTGAGCGGAAGGCAGACGTTTAACCGACTGAGCCACTCAGGCATCCCTCCCAATCACTTTTTATCCATTTCATCTTTTTTACTCATAGCATCTATCACTATTGAAACTGATTCTATTCCTTTCCCTGCTTTTTATCTTTTTCCACTGGGATATAAACTCAATCAGACCAGAGACCTCATTTGTCTTATTCACAGTAGTATCCCTGGCATTTAAAACAATACTTAGCAAATAATAAGGGTGCAATAGATATTTAGTTAATGATGAAAGAATAAGTAAGTGAATTTCAAAATTCCTGCTCCTCCTGAATTTGCAATTTGAGTTAATGGCATCTCAATATTAGCAATATTTGACTTTTCACTTTGTTTCTCTCCACTCCCCTGTAACATGTCTTGTTGACTTGGTAGGTTTCTTTTATGAACCTGGCTCCTTTTCCATTTCGTCCAGCAACTCACTCCTCCATTTCTGCCACTATCTGGGACCTTCTTCAGTTTCTTCCCTCTCCATTTCCAGTATTGCTGTTATAGGTAACTTTCCACAATCCGGACAATACCAACCACTTTACATCACTTGTTTACGTGCTTGTTCATGTCACAAGCAATAAATATTCATAGCAATAAATGTATTTATACTGCATACACACACACATATACATATAAATCTCAGATATCTACTTGCTATTTCAGGAAAAAAAAAACCAGGTCGGAAAACTTGTATTTTCTGATTGCCAATTAGGAAAATGTCTCTGTTTGGCCAAGTTTTTAATTAAAAAAAAAGTGGGGAGCCTGGGTGGCTCAGTTGGTTAAGTAACTGCCTTCGGCTCGGGTCACGATCCCGGGGTCCTGGGATTGAGCCCCGCGTCGGGCTCCCTGCTCAGCGGGGAGCCTGCTTCTCCCTCTGCCTCTGCCTGCCACTCCCCCTGCCTGTGCTCTCTCTCTCTGTCAAATAAATAAAATCTTTTAAAAAAAATTTTTAAAAAGGTTACAGAGATACAATCATTATTTATTTAAATAACAAGCAGACACAAGAAACAGTGGAGTATCTAAAGTTCCCGGCATATTATTAAAAAAACATAATCCGGCTCCAACCTACATTTCAGCCTCATCTCTACTCTTATTCCTGTTTGTTTTCACCACCCAGTACATTACGTCAGAGTGTTTAACAATCAAAAGCCACAAGTCTGTACTTGACATCAATGGGACCTCATTCTTCCAAATGGCAGTATCTAGTTACAGAAAAAGCCTCACCAAAACAATAACCAACGTCTGGGACTCACACGGCAGTTCTGAGATGAAAATTCCTGGAAATGAGGCCAAAGGCCCCTTTAATTTGCCAAAATGCTTGAAGCCTGCCCACGACCGCTTCTCCAGGGATATTTCTTGAATTTGACAAATTACCAACGGTGATGTTTCTTGATGAGAGAAAACAATCACAGCCGCAGAGGAATAAGGTCACAGAGAGAGTGTTCTGGACGAGACGTCCGTCGTGTCAGGGTAGCGGGAAAAGGGCGGCAGCGCCAACTATGAACCCGCAAAGAAAACACAGGAAATCAACAGCAATTCAAATCTTCCCGCAACCGGGGGAAGCGTCTTTCCTCTCCGGAAAAAGACCGGAAGTCCCGCCCAGTCCGCGCCCTCCGCTCCGGGGGCCAATCTCCGTCGCGCTCCTAGAGAAGGGCGGGACCGGAAGTAAGGGAGGCGGGCTTTCCCTGTCCTGAATGCGGTTGCTTCCTTCTTGATCTTTACTTCTGATATTCAGGTTGGGACCGGTCGGACCTAGCTGTGATTCGTCCTTGTCAGGCAGTTCAGCCAAGAGCTGTTAGTGGAGTAATGCATATTTAAATAATCTAAACAACAATTATACCTTAATAAAGCTGTAAAAAAAAAACAAAAACTTGGACAAAGATAGAGACCTCTTCTTTTCCTAATTTGGTATCAACTGTGTATCTGCACTTTTTTTCTAAAATAGCAAGTAGCGTGGCTGCTAAATTTATTGTAAGTATTTATGGGGAACTTACTATGTGCTGGGCACCCTGGGGATAAAGCAGGGAATGAGACCCAGGGTCGAGGATGGGGGCTGGAGATTAACTGGAAAGAAAGGAGTAGAAAGTAATTTCGTCACAGTAGTGGTTAAATATTCCTAAACTAAAATACAGAGGTCTGTGAGAGCATGTAGTGGACAGACCTGAGGCTGAGGAAGTATTTCCACTGAAATCCAAAGGGTAAGTATGTTAGCCAAGTACAATGTGGAAAAAGTGTTTCAAGCAGAGCTAACAGCCTGTGTTAAGGCCCTGAGGCCCAAAGGAAAGATCTTGCCCCCTTCGAAAGGCCAGTTTGATTTAAGAATGATTAAAAAGGAGAGAGAGGCTTTTAGGAGCAAGAAGCCTGAATGGGGACTTAGAGATAGGCAAGGGCCAGATCATTATGGATTTATGAATGATGGACTTTATCTTAAAAGCGATGGTAAACTATTACAAGGGCTTTTTTTGTAAATTTTACTTAACAGTGCAATATTGGTTCTGGAGTAGAATTTGGTGATTCATCGCTTACATACAACACCCCTGCCCTCTTTAATAACCATCACCCATCTAGCCCATCCCCCACCCACCTCCCTCCATCAACCCTCAATTTGTTCTCTATCCTTAAGAGTCTCTTAGGGCTTGTTTGTCTCGCTCTCCTTTTTTTCTATTCCCACTTCCCATATGTTCATCTGTTTTCTGTCTTAAATTTCACATATATGGTAATTTGTTTTTCTCTGACTTATTTCACTTAGCATAATACACTCTAGCTCCAACCACATCATTGCAAATGGCAAGATTTCATTCTTTTTGATGGCTGAGTAACATTACGTTGTATATACATACCACATCTTTTTTAACCACCCATCAGTCGATGGATGTTTGGGCTCTCTCCATAATATGGCTGTTGTTGATAATCAAGGGCTTTTTAAGCAAAGGTGGCAGCACCAAGGAATGGGAATAAATCTAACTCCTTAAATTCATCTCCATTTTTGAATGTCTGATAAGCAAACTGACCTCAATCTTACGTAGTGTCATAAAGTCACTCTCAGATGCCCTGTTTTCATTGATCAGTAACATCAATTTCTATTACACACTGTTATCCTGCTCCCACCTTTTTCCTAATGACTAAGAACCTCCTATCTGCAAACTGTCTACTACTAAGGGGTTTTGTGATGCTATTTGTATTTTAGAAAGATCCCTGGAATGTCTGAGTGAAGAATGGATTGTAGGATGCAAGAGCAGATGTGGGGAGCCTGGTAGTCTTTTGAAAATGCGATGGGAGAGATGGCATTTCAGACTCAAGATTAGACAGTAAGGATGGAGACACAGCTCCAAGAAATATTTACATCAGTTCAATAGTCTTGGGGATGACTGAACAGGACTTAACAGTTCCTCAAGTTCTGACTGGAGTAAGTGGATAGGGGGCAGTGCCATCAGTAAGATGGACACAAGAAAACTTAGGGAATAGCAGGACTTCAATTTTGTGTCTTCCTAGTGCAAATACATTAGCAAGGTCTAGAAACAGATTAGAAAGAAATCTGGAGGTCAATGTTGATAGCTGCTAACTGAAGCTTTAGGAGAGGATTAAATAGTCCAAGGATATAGTGACATGAGAAGAAAATGTTGACAGAGCTTTGAGGAACACCAATAAAGATTAAAGGGAAGAGAATTCCACAAACACTGAGGAACAGCCAGAAAGAAGGCTATTCTATTCCAGATGCCTAGAGGTTTTCAATTTTGGTGTCCCTTGATACTGTTAGATATTGCCTAGAGAACAAGCTAAAGAATCAAATTTCTACTGGATTTAGTGGCATAGATGTCATTGGTGGCTCTACCAAGGGCTATTGTATATAGTGGCAGCAGAAGCTATAGGTCTCAAGAGCAAATAGGAAGGAAATGGAAAACAAATATGGGACATTTGAAGAATCTGGCTAGGAAGCAGAACTGTACAGAAATGTGAGGGCCAGATTTCTCAATGAGAGGAATGACACGTTCAACAGCTCATGCAAAGGGCCAATGGAGAGATTTTAAAAAGAAAAAATACGGACCAAGTAACAACAGAGTTCATGAGAGAGTGAGGGCATGGGATTCAAGCACATGTGGAATAACTGGCCTTTAACAGGAGGGCTACTTCCGAGTACAAGAGGAGGGATGAAATGAATGGGAGGCATTTGTGTACATTTGCCTGATTTCTTCTGTGAAGCAAGTCATTAAATGGAGATGAGAAACAAAGACAGTGGAGTTTGAAACAAGCAAGGTAATAAACACAGTAGGATTACTGGCAGTGCTGATAGCTTAGGTGGCGATTATGAGTTGACACTGGTACAAACCTACCAGAAATAGGACCTCCAGCTGCCTGGTTGAAGCAACAGTGTTGGGTCCATCCAGGGTTGTTTTGCCAGGCTGACACAATACATGACCTAGTATACATGACCTAAAATTATTTACATCTACTAAAGTCTAGTCAGCCAAAGACTTAAAGCCTGCAGTCTGACAAAATCTTATTGACTTGTAAGCAAGGGAGGAAACTCCAGGGAAAACACGAACGGCATGCTACACAAGAGGAAGGAGGGCACCCACTTTGGTAAAATTTGGATTCCTGCTGAAGGAATCTGAGGAGATTCTAAGGGAAGAGATACCTGTTCTGAGTTGGATGCTGCTTCTGAAGCAAGATTAGAAGCAGGAATTGACTAGGGATTGGTGCGGTTATGAGGTGACGGCTGTTTAGTAATTGGGTATCCCCAGTAATAGATGGGTGGGATAGCAAAGCAGGTCTGAAGACAACAAAGCAGTAGTCCTACAAACGGGTCATGATGGTAGTTTATAATTGCATGGCTTTGGGAAAAATGTGTCCTGTTAACTTTCTAGCTGGCTTTATCTGTCTATCCTCCCAACCAGAAAAACAGCAAGGGTACACCTCCCCACCCCCCATGAGAACTGATTTTCAGTCCTTCAGTCCTGAACAGGTTTTTACTCTTTCATACCACGTGTCTTCTCTTGTTAAACATGACTGATTTTTTCTTAAACAAATGAGAACTTCCTCCAGATCCATCTGTTCTTCTACAGATAAGACTTAATGAAATACCTAATCATGGAGTTGCCCTTTTCTGACAATTTCCAATCTAGGGTGAACCTCCAGTTTCTTGGACCCTCTCCCAAATTATCCAACCAAAGCACAAATCCTATTATAATGGGTTCTAATACCCTCTTACTGACACACCCCACAGTTCCCCATATGTGTATTCTGCTTTAGTGCAAAAGTACTAAGTCCAGCCTGTTCAGGTACATGTATATTCCTGGTAGTCTTTGGCTGGAAGGGCACGGACAACATAAAGACAGAAGGTATGAGTTGATGACACAAGTGCCAGATATTATACAAACCAGTATTTGTACTTTGTTACCAGAACACAGGCCTATGACCTGCACTAGCACCCATGCATTCTTGCTCATTGGAGACTTGTACTATTAATCCTTACAAGAGACTTAGGACGCATGTTTCTGTTGAAGATACGGCCAACAATTGTAGCACAGGGCTGGCTCTTCCTTTCGGGATATACCTTTGCAGTTTTAAAACATATCCACACATTTCCTGATGGCCTCCTATTTGATATGTCTTTAGTGACTCAGACCTAAGACTGTAATGGAAGTTAGTGCTGTGTGCAGCTTCCAAATGCAGCTTCTTCCTGAGTCTTCCACAATGCCCCCTCCAAAATCCAGCTGCCATGTTTGTGAAAAGTCCAGGCCACATGGACAGGCCATGTGTAGGTGGGTCTTGCCAAGTGATAGCTTCAAGTCATCTCGGCCCAGTCAGCCATGTGAGTGAAGAAGACTTCAGATGATTACAGCTCCCGGCCATTTGAATCACCTCAAGTCCTTAGTTTTCCCAGCTGAGGCTGCAAACACTGCAGAGTAGAAAAAAGCCATGCCCTGTCCAAATCCCTAAACCACAGAACTCATGAGCATAATAAAATGCTTATTGTTTGAAGACATTAAATTTAGGTGGTTATTTAAACAGCCCTAGCAACTGGAACACATAATGATCCTGAGTACAGCAGTGATTGGTGACAATGAGCTAGTGGACAAAGCTGGATAGTTATTCACAAAGCAACCACAAGAAGTTTAAAGTATATTCAGTTATCATGTACTTGGCCCCTGGTCTAATGTACTCCCTCTTCCCCATACCCCTTCCCCCTCACCCCCAAGATTTACAATGAGCACAGTCTTTGGAGAACTGCAGATTAAAGTAATTATCCACCACATTACAGGAGCCATTTTGAAAAAAAGAATCCTATTACAAGTTCCAAAAACCCCAATTATATATATCCTTCCCTTTTACAATAAGGAATCTAAAGGTTAATGTTTTATATTTAATTTTTCCAACTAGACTTGTTACTGAATTCTTAACACACTGAATAGGACATCTTCTAGCATAGTTTGATTTCAAACACTTAATTTTATGACAAAGTTGAACAGAAATTCTTTAAAATATCAGGATACCACTCCAAAAACTTAAGAGGAAAACAAAACTATTTAAATTTTATTTTCAAAGTCTAACTTTAATCCAGACTGAACAAACAAGCTGAAAAGTGAGAAAGCTAACTGTATTAGCAGACACAGATGTACCAAATGTAAAACAGTGGGTTATTAACAGAACTATTTACATGCATATTTACAAGCAATCCTTTTGTACATAAGTTTTTAGTTAGCTGGAAAAAGGCTTTTGACATTAGGTACAAATATTTTTAAATAGGGCTGAGGTGGTACTGCATTATAGTAAAAGTATTAGAAAAGTGATCCTCAGGGTGTATCAATTATAAAGCAGGTGAAAACTTGAGTGACAAAGATCTAGTAAAATTCTCTAGTAAAAAAGTCAATGCAACTCATGCTACAAAATAAAAATGAAAGCCATATAAATAAAGCAGAATAATGTTCTAGGCTTTTGGGTAATGAAAAGTTGGGAGGTGAGTTGGGGAAGAACAATTCCAATAAATCCTAAGTGAAGAATCCTGGTTGTTTAGTTGGGAGTTTTAAGTTTTTTTTTTTTTTTTTTTTTAATGACATTTTAAAAGCCCTTGGTATCAAATAGCATCTGGATATGTAAATCAGTTGTTAATGATATATTCTAAGACTTTAGTACTAAAGATTTTCATGATTGTGATTCATACTTGAAACCCAATTCATTGAGACAATGTAAAACTAAATGAAAGCTATATACTCATCTAAAAAAGGATGCTACATTTTGCAATAATACATATTTCCAGGCTAAGACTTTTTCCCTCAAGAAAAGTAGAATTTAAAGGTTAAGCTTCTAACCAACTAGCAAAATTTACTTTCAACATTTCATTTATTTCAAAATTGATTTTATTGCAGCCAGAACAGTGGAATTAACTGTACATAATAAACTATTATATATATATACACATTTTAAGTTATAGGGAATAAAGTTTATTTTGGCAGACAGTGTTAAACAAAATTAAAGTTGCATACATTAGTAACATAACTCAACATCCTTAATTTGGTATAAGTGTGACACATTTTCCTGTGTTCTGCTAAATCACCATAACCTAAACTGCTTTATAAAACTGTTATGTTGAAATTTAGCTTTACTGTTTTCGCTTACGCTCTGATTCCAAACAAAACTTTTCATAAGCTTCTTCTATCTCTGGGTCCATCTCATCATCAATATCATCCAAGTATCTATGAAAGAAGTAAAGATGATTCATAAGTTTAACATTTTTCAATTCAGAAATATCTAAGATGCTAAGCCACCAAAAAAGTATGGTGATATAACTTTCTTAGACTGTTACAGAATGTAAGCACTTTTCAGAATTACATACATGTCAGTCCTCAGACAACCAAACGCTTAATCTGAGCAGTTACCTTTCACACTGGATTCTGAGTCTCTTGTGTTTGAAATTAAGCTTCTGTTATACTTTTAGACGTATGTTAAAAAAAAATTTAAGTTATCTCTACACCCCATGTGCGGCTCAAACCCACAACCCCAAGATCAAGAATCCCATGCTCTTCTGACTGAGCAGTCAGGCGCCCGACATGTTAAATTCTTAACCTAACCTAAAAGTGAATTCAAAGTCTCGACATATAAATTTGGGGGCTCAAGATTGATATTATTTTCATAAACTTACCTTAATCACACTATAGTTAGAACATAATTTCAGATATGCCATTCACCTCTAATAATGCAAAGTTTTATGTCTACTTTTTTTTTTTTAAGATATTATTTATTTGATAGAGATAGCACAAGCAAGGAGAGCGGCAGGGAGAGGGAGAAGCAGGCTCCCCACTGAGCAAGGAGCCCAATGCAGAGCTCGATCCCAGAACCCTGGGATCATGACCTCAGCTGAAGGCAACCAACTAAGCCACCCAGGCTCCCCTATTTTATATCTACTTAACATCAGAAATGGTATTCTTGAAATGACAATTTAGTCACATTCCATTTATCTGGAATCACTTTCATAACAAGAAGCTACCTTCGAGATCATCTATCTCAGAATTTTTCCAACTATTAGGTAGTTTAAAATGATGGAAAACAAAGCTTTCCACAGTTAAGTATGGGTAGAAAATTTAAAGAGCCCATTAAGGATTTAATATACATATTCTTACTGAATACCCATAGCCATCTTAAAAAGATAGGTACTACTATCATCTCCATTCTTTTTAAGTAATCTCTACACCCAACATGGGGCTTGAACTCACAACCCTAAGATCAAGAGTCACATGTTCTACTGACTGCACCAGACAGGCGCCCCATCATCTCCATTTTAGAGATAAAAGAAAAAAAGACTCTGGAAGGAGGTTAAGTAAATACTCTAAGATTTGGGTTAAATATGTAGCACAGCCAGAATCTGACTCCAAATCTTTTCCCTTTTCTACACTTTTCCTCTACAACATGTTGTCTGTATGTCTCCCCACCCCGCAATAATCCTTTCCACCTACATGTGACAAAACTATCTTGCCAATCCTACCAAATGCTGATGGGTCTTTTTGTCATTGTTCCTCCATTTCTAGTACAAGGCCATGTGTTGAAATGGCCATAAGTGTATCAGGGCAAGAGCATGTAATATTTACCAAGCAAAACTTCAGAGGACAATCTGAAATTCAATGCCAAGAACAGCTTGAACTTCCAGTGGTATACCCAGCAGGGCTGAACCTTTTTCTTATTGGGCTTGAGTCCTTACAACCCTATTTTTTTTTTTTTTAATTAAACTAGTATGTAAAAAAAATATGGTAACATTAGATCTCAAACAGACTTATAAATGTCACTAGATGGGGGAGAGAATAAAAGTGGTTCACTTTTTTAACCTACAACATACATGAGAGATGAAACGTAGGAAAAAATTAAGTCAGTTTTAATTTATTCCCTCTCCTCCACTTAGAAGAATACCTGAGTAACTGGTCCAAATTCACATGAACTGTTAAGAGAGCTGGGACCAAACCTCACAAGTTCTTGGTTCTTCTATAACTCAGTGTAATGCAATCTGATGGTAAGCGAGTAGCAAAAGTTTCTTTTATTACAAAGAATGGCAGGTAGGGATCGAGAGATGTGAATGGGACTATAACTTACACCTTCCCATCAGTCCAAACACTTAATGTAGTTATCAGCATTCTCTTTAATCTTTTTTTTTTTTTTTAAGATTTTATTTATTTATTTGAGAGAGAGAGAACGAGAGACAGAGAGCAGGAGAGGGAGGAGGGTCAGAGGGAGGAGAAGCAGACTCCCCGCCGAGCAGGGAGCCCGATGCGGGACTCGATCCCGGGACTCCAGGATCATGACCTGAGCCGAAGGCAGACGCTTAACCATCTGAGGCACCCAGGCGCCCCAGCATTCTCTTTAATCTTAATTCATCCTTTAAAACAGCTAAGATCTGAGTCTTTTACTGTCTGCCAGGAGGTGGTTCTAAGTATGTATGTATTTTCACCTAGTTCTCAAAGGAACTCAAGGAAGGGTCTACTATTTCTACTTTACAGATGGAAAAAACAGGCATAGAATTTGCCTAAGACCTTACAGTATTAGAGCTGAAGTGAATCTATTTTACAAAACTATACTTGAGTATACCACTATTTTAGTTTTTCCCCTTCAGATATATATACATTTTCAGAATCAGAGTTTATGTTTTCTAGTATGATTTCCTGAAAATTTTTGGTAAGCCATACATGTATACCATTGCAACACCATCAAATCAAAATGTGCATTCTTCATCTACCTTTTTCTAATCTAAACTCCATCTACAAACTATGGCCACAGAAATATCACCAAGAAAGTTAATAGCTAGGAAGAACTTACGGATCACCAGCCCCTGATAAATCTGTCCCATTTTCTTCATAATCTGGAAAAAAGTCTTCTCTTTCAAGTAACTCTTGATATTTCTCTTGGTAATCTATAAAAAAAATTGAAAAAAAGGTTGACAAAAGTCATAAAATGGCCAGTTATCCTTAAAAATGACTTTTAATATTAGTTTTCATTTAAGTAGAGCCAGTGTTTAAATAGCAGGAAGCTTCCAGTTGCATATTTAATAGCTTTTACAAAACTTATATTCTAACTGGCTTGCTTTTGCCACCTGCGTGCTCATAAATCTTAACATTCCTCTAATTAATGTTGCAAATCAAGGCCACTGTGGATATACCATAGCCAACGTGTATGCCGCTTATACTCTCTGCTGCTTCTTTCCATAAGACAAAACATATCTATATAACTTGTTGGGAAAAAACATGTTCTTCCATATTCCTGTTCTTCCTTCCACAAGGAAGGATTTTAATCAAATAGCCCGGCCTCTGTTCCCCTTACTCTTTCCCGAGGAAGTCAAGTGAGCTAGTGGCTAGCAACTAACAGCCACTGGCCCATGTTTCTCAATCAGATTAGCTAACCTAGCAAAGGTTCTGAGCACAGGGGATTTTCTTTTCTTCCCTCAGAGACAGCTGGAAGGTAGCTATCTGATAAATGTTTCAGCTATACGAACTTTCCCTTGGTTGGGTTCTTCCAAGGCAATACGGGTAATTTTATAGCTCTCCATCTGCCAACTGTCTTAGGCAGAGTTACTGAGTATCTTTTAAGATTAGCATATCCATATGGAGTACTTATCTCTGAATAATAAAACAGATCAGTGTGTATTAAAACTAGTTACCTTAAAATTGGTTTCTTGTGAACAATAGCTACCTCAAATTTCAACAAGATAATTACATTAGACCGTGTTTTCCCCAAGATTGCCAGTCTCTATAAAACTTATTTCAGCTTAAAGGGTTGGTGATATTTTGACATCCAATTTTGGCAATTTGGAGACAATTTTAACTGCAGAACCTTTCTGCAACAAATACCTGGGGTAACAGATAAGACAAACATTCTTTTAAATGCACAGATGAGTTCAGAAAAAAGAAAATCAAGTCCCTTGATGACCAACAAAAAGGGAACTGAAAATCATACATACCTACTCTAGCCAGGAGGCTGGCAGACCACATGCTCTCAGTTAACAAAGGGGCTTGGATTTAAAAACCTACAGAAGTTCAGAAAGCAAGGTCTTGGGCCCATGTGAAACAGAGATGGAATTCATGCCCACGCCCACCTCTACCTACAAAAACCCGGGTCCTTCAAAGGGTGGATATCTCAAAAAAAGGTGGACCAGGAAAAAAACAAAATGGAAAACACTCTGGTGGCAAAGAGAGATAGCAAAGAAGCTTGCTGGTCTCTTCCTGGGTTTGAAGTAGAAACAACAGTACTCTGAAGAAATCGGTTCCTCAGAAAATTTGTAATAATGGGCCTAGACCTCAAATTTCTACTACCCACATAAAAAACCCTATGACAAGAAAATAAAAACTTGTTCCAAATCAGTTTTACCCCTGTGGCTCCTTGGCAGGAAAAGATGTTACTACAACCCAAGCCATAAGGAGTTTTCATGAAGAAAAACAAAAAAAGCAGTTAAAACATGAGAGCAGTCATAAAGGGCCACAATATGTATAACTTCAAATGGTTTAGAAAAGTGTGGACAGAACAAGTGATAAAGCAAATAGAATAAACGTTAACAAAGGGTACATGTGGGTAATGGGTGGATGGATGTTATTTGTACAATTTTTACTTTTGTAACTTTTCTGTAAGTTTGAAATCCTTTCCAAAAAAAGTTTAAGACCATTAAATATCAGATTGCAATTTAAAAAAAAGATCAAAATAAATTTTATGTGATCCTCAAAAATAACAGCAAGGTTAGAATTAAAAGAACAAAAATGTGAAACAAAAATAAGCATCTTTAGAAATTTCTGTAGACAGGGGCGCCTGGGTGGCTCAGTCGTTAAGCGTCTGCCTTCGGCTCGGGTCATGGTCCCAGGGTCCTGGGATCGAGCCCCGCATCGGGCTCCCTGCTCGGCGGGAGGCCTGCTTCTCCCTCTCCCACTCCCCCTGCTTGTGTTCCCTCTCTCGCTGTGTCTCTCTCTGTCAAATAAATAAAATCTTAAAAAAAAAAAAAAAGAAATTTCTGTAGACAAAAGAACAAATAGGTTGAACAAATGAGACACAGATGAACAAAGAACCAAAACGATTCAAGGTAACTTTGAAGACTAAAAATCTGTCTTACCAGCCATAGCAAGATTTAAAGTAAAGCAGTAATTAAGACTGTGGTATTGGTATTAAGACAGACAAAAGATCCACATGCACAGACACAGACTAAGATACAAGTTAGAGAGGACGGACACGGTACACATCAGAGGGACTGCATTTTACTGAGGAGAGAGAATGGGTAACTCAACACCAGTTGCTGAGACAAGAGAACATGGAATATTTAAGTCCTACTACATCTATCACATAAAGATTAGCCAGATGGATTAAAGACCTCAATATGAAAAAGCAACAAAGACTTTTAGAAGAAAATGGAATTTGATGGTAATAAGGAAACCTTAGCCACTGAGAGCAGGAACAAGACAGATACAGTGACATGAAAACTCGAAGCTTCTATAGGATAAGACAAACATAATGGAAAGACAGCATATACTGGGAGAACCTCAGAGTCACTTTCTGGGCTATGTAAGGAATTACAAATCAGTTAAGAAACAAACGATCCAAGACAAGTATGGGCAAAGAACACAAACAGGCAATTCTTAAAAAAAAAAAAAATTCTTAAAGAAAAAACAACTGTCAATAGAAACATGAAAAGAAATTCATTATCACTAGTAAGGAAATGAAAGTTTACAATTTGGTACAATCTAACTGACAACAATAAGGTCTGGTAATAAGTGTTGCCATGGATGAGAAACAGGAATCCTCATGTTCTGCTGGGGGCATATCATGTGGTATAGTCAGACTGGAAAGCTGGTTAGCAACACTTAGTGAAGTAGAAGATGCAGGTACCCTACAATGTAGCAACTGTACTTCTTCACCCTGAAGAACCTCCTGCATGTGCACAAGGACTACTTAAAGAGTACAGCACTCTATAGTAAGGAGTGTGAGCCACCCAACCACCCTCAAGTAGGGACCTATAACCAGTGCTGTACTCTGAGTGCAGTATTATTTGGCATTTAAAACGAACCAACGTGCTTTTTATATTGAGTGTTTCATAATTTAAAGTTAAAAGTTAAGCAGTCCTTCTTTCCACCTCCTCTGAGGAACAGGAGGTGCCTGCTATCCAGAGTAAGCAAATGGGAAAATTCTGAACAATAAGCTTGTTATAATTTTTATCAACTGGGAAAATTTTCTCTTGCTCATACTGCAGTCCCATTTATCACAATTAAAGAAATCTTTCTATAAATGGCCCTTTTCTGGAAGGGGAAGTGTGCTGAGATTTAGATTTTAATTAACTTTGACCTACTGACTATTAATGAAACCCGTAATTCTTAGTATCTGCAAGTATTAACCCATAGTAACAAATGTTGTACTCTATGTAGTGACTAGAACCATCTTTCCCTTCTATTTTAACCACCTAAAGCTTACAGTATAAAAATGAAATATGAGAGAAAATATAAAACAAAAATGGTTGCATTTAATCAAGGGATTCCTCCAAAACCACTGTCAGGATGACAAGATACTATATACAGAGTCAGACTTTCCACTTGAAATGGTTCAAAGCGGTTGTCCCTGTCAAGAATATTCTATAGGAGATAAACATTTACAAACATTTACCCTGTATCTTAGAACAATGTGCCTGCTTCAAACAGTTACAGCTTTGTACCCGTGAGGGTATGGTTTTCTGTAACTCACTAGCTTACCAAGCAATGGGGGGCAAAGCACTGTGAGACAGCCTACCTGGGTCGGCCGCAGTGAAAGGAACACCGTCAGAGGTATAAAATGTTGGTTCATTCTAGGATGAATCAAAGTGATACAAATATGTAAGCATTTCAGAGTTTATTTTTTAAAGCACATTAATTAACGAAGCATGGCTGAGGTCACTCATCTGCACCTGATAATGCAAGATCACACAAAAAACTAGCTTCCTAATAGCCATTTTCATTTCATTGGGAAAGTCTATGGTTTTCAGATTTCTATTCTATTCTCTCAAGTTCCTGCGGCTGTAACCCTGCTGTCTAGTCTGTCACACTCGTGATGAACTGTTTTGTTGTGCACTGTGATTTAGCGTTGTGTCAGCTTATTTTGAGTTGTGGTTCTCCCCCCACCCCCCACCATTTTTTAAAGAATTTCCATGGCTGGGGTTATAGGAGCATTTCTCCATTGTTGTGTTAGGTTTGGTCATGTCAGGAGCTTCAGGGCATCATTGGCCTGGTGATCACTTTTATTTTCTTAATTTACTACAACATGCAAACTAAAAGTGTGAGATGCAGGCCTTTGGTTATAATTTCTCTGGAAAAACTTCCCACAATCCCACACTCAACTGAGTCCAAGCCTTATTGATTTCCCTTGCCACTGGATGGATCTTTCTCTAGTCCACGCTTTCCCTAGAGGATTCCATGTTTCTTCTCTATTTACCTGGCCTGATGGCTGCCATGTGACCCTACGCCAATGAAAAGAGTTACTGGCATTAAATTCTGAGAATACTTTTTTTTTTTTAAGAATACCTTTATGTACCTCATCTAGAAATTTCCAAAATTGGATCCAAGCAATAAACAAAACTTAAAATGTAAATGCTGGCATACCATAAAATAATTAGGATCATTTTCAGGTGTTGCTTCTCTGTACGTTGAAGTTGCGTGGACTCTACCCCAGTTACTTGACCGGAGTTCAACAAGCTTCAAGAGCATCTGTTTCACATCTCTGCAGACAAGTTGAAGAGGAGTTAAGGGTATCCACCAAAGTGTTGTTAGGCTCTAGAATACCACAGACTCCTAAAACCATGTTTCATAAATTTAACATGTACATCTAAGTGCTTTGATTTTTTAGGCATTTCCTATATTGACATAACATTTTTTTTTTTAAAGATTTTATTTATTTATTTATTTTGAGAGAGAGAGAAACAGCATGAGAGGGGAGAGGGTCAGAGGGAGAAGCAGGCTCCCCGCCGAGCCGGGAGTCCGATGTGGGACTCGATCCCAGGACTCCGGGACCATGACCTGAGCCGAAGGCAGTCGCTTAACCAACTGAGCCACCCAGGCGCCCTGACTTTTTTTTTTTTAAGCAGCCTTGAAAGTTGTTCCATCTGGGGTGCCTGGATGGCTCAGTCGGTTAAGTGTCTGCCTTTGGCTCAGGTCATGATCCCAGGGCTCCGGGATCAAGCCCCACATCGGGCACCCTGTTCAGCAGGGAGCCTGCTTCTCCCTCTTCTCCCTGTCTGTGCTCTCTCAAATAAAATCTTTAAAAAAAAAGTTATTCCATCTAACTGTGACTATATGGTTCTTAAAGGCAGTGCCTATCCCACATTTTTATGCCTCCAACTGGACTTAAAATTGTACCTCACCCAAGTATTTACTGAACAATTTAAAGTCTGAATCATTTTACTTTTCAATGGACTCCTATCTCACCACAGGAAAATCTTAACTTTTTCAATTTATAAACACAACTGAACAAAAAAAGCCAGGTGAGCAGAAGCCATAACTAAAATATTATACCTTTAAAGGAAATATTTCTGTAGGTCTGTAAGATTTCAATTCTTTCGATGATAGCATACATCACAGGTTAAAAAACAAGCCCCACAGAAAAAGAAATTGAGATCCACTGGATAGCTACCCACCTGCTGCAATTTGCATCTAGGACAACATTCTCAATTCTCTGAATGATTTCTTCCATATCAGTCTTTCCTTTCTCCTTCCAGGCATCTTCCAAAACTGACCCTGTCAACTAAAAAAGCAGGTTATCAGTAAAATAAGGGATTCAATAAAGTACAGAAATTCTTAAAAAAAAAAAAGTATTCATAGCAATTCAAGCATTCTTTAAAGAAAATGAATTTGGTAAGTTAAATACTCCCAATTATTCTCCACCATCTAACAGTCAGGAATCTCTATTTTTCCTGATTGAGAGAAATTAAAGCAGAACCTGAATCAGAGGTTTTATGTATCAATGACTATAGGGTATATTCCCCATGTAAGTTAGGCTATAAAATTTTAATCAACCTTTCGCTTTTTGAAATATACAAGTATAGAAGCTCTGAATTTAAAAAAAATAAAAAATACAAACTTCAGGGGGGGGAAAAAAAAGAGGTAAGGATATAAACCGGTAATTCATAGGAAAAAAATGGCTAACAAATGTGAAGAAATGCTTAAATTCACTAATGATCAGGAAAATGCAAAACAAGATTTTTGTTTTTACTCATTACCCATGACAAAACAAACCAGGATTGATTATATCCAGCACTGATAAGAATATGGGGAAAGCAGTATACTCATTCACTGTTGGTAGGACAACAACCAAACCACACACTGGTTTAGCATTTAGAAGGGAAATTTGACATTACTTCTCAAAATAAAGTATACTACGCTCACTGACCCACCAAATCTATGTGTAGGAATCGAACCTACATAAACAACTGCACATATAGAAACGAAGTTACTGCAGAAAGAGGTAAATCTTTTGTGACAAAGATCTAAGATATTTGTTAGATTAAAAGAGCAAGCCAAAAAGAGATTTTTTTGAGGGCACACATACATACATGGGAAAGGAAGGAAAGGAAATTTAGAGATGGGGGTGAAGGACTTCCATTTTTTGCTTCTAAATTTGGATTCTCGTATTTAAAAAAATCAGTACAGGGTAGCACGGGTGGCTCAGTTGGTTAAGAGTCCGAGTCTTGATTTTGGCTTGGGCCATGATCTCAGGGTCGTTGAGATTGAGGCCCATGTCAGGCTCTGTGCTCAGTGCGGAGTCTGCGTGTCCCTCTCCCTCTGCCCCCCGCCCCCAAATCCTGCTCATGCACTCTCTCTCCCCACAAAAAAATCTTAAAATCAGCACATACTGCTTTTCCAATATTTAAATTCAAGAGCAAAGCAAAATGTCAATATTTAACTTAAAGAAAAAAATTTAATCTTGAATTCACTCAACACTATACATACTTTCCTTCTTCTAAATCATATACGAATGGGGTAGAAAGATGAATTTTAAGACAAACATAAGTAAAACCTACCTTCAGTAATTTTACTGCACAAATTAAGTTGTCATCCATAGGATTAGAAAACAGAGCATTCAGCAACTCCCGAAGACCAACCTGAAGAATATCTGCTCTTGTAACCTGTCCATTTGTTCCCTTGATCTTTTGGGACAGAAGAAAATGAAAAGCAACCATGCCAAAATATTACAACAGATAAATAAATGGTCTAACGTCTTGGCAAAATAAGTGTTTTAAGTTAAACAATACAAAAATCAGAAATGCTCTTGTATCTTCACAAAATTATACTATTTTACATGTATATAGGACCTCTAATACAACTAGTAAACTACAGGTAAAATTTTCCATTTATCACACATAACATATGGTCAGGATAACCTAAGCCTCCTTTATAAATTACTGCTTCATAAAGCATTCTCTGGTCTATTAAGCTACCACCTTTTTTGGAACATGCAGCATTTTATTATTCTTTTTTATACTATTTAAAAATACTGTTTTGCATCAGAATCGTCTAAGTATCGTAGCTCTCCAGCCAGAAGAGCTGCAGTCTCAGGAGTCACACCTCATCTGTACACCCCCCACAGACATGGCATTATTACGTCCACATAGGAAACAACTGCATTCTTAGAATGACTCTTCATTTACAGCACATTTTAGGTGAATGCTCTTATTTTGGCTTATATAAAAATTAAACTGAAAGATTAATGCATGAAATTTTTAAAAAATTAAGTCCATCCAGGGACACCTGGCTGGTTCAGTTGGCATAGCATGTGACTCTTGATCTCAGGGTTGGGAGTTCAAGCTCCATGTTGGGCATGGTGCCTACTTAATAAAATAAAATCCCAATGCAAAAAAAAAAATAAGTCCATCTGTGGTAAAATGGGGTAGTAAATTAGGCACTAGATTGGACAGACCTTTTAGATGCACTGACTGAGATGCACATTTGATGGTGGATCTCATGGGTCTTTTCAGTGGTGTTTACGATTAAGTTTTCAAGTCAAAGTTAAAGGAGGTATAACCTATCTCTGGGATTAACTAGTCCAAGGAAAAAAAAAGGAAATCCATTACAAAGTAATATTCAGCACTAGATATTCTAGTGTCTCCCCCCCCCCCGCACCGCCCCACCCTTTCAACTCAAAGCTTTGTGTTCTGCAGAGTACGCTGCTTTTGAGCCACCATCTGAAAGTCAATATACGAAATGTGTGAATTCAAAAAAGGTATTACCTGTATTTCGAGAGCTTACACTTGCATGGAAACCATGGCTTTCCAAAAGTACACAGACTTTAAAATTCCCAGTAACCACTTCCCAACAGCCTCCCCGCAAACAGAAGAAACAAACATTATGGACATTCCATTAGAACGCAGGCACTAGCGTGAGCAGCCCCTAAGGCACTGTTTCTCTCTCCCTTCACCTGGTTTTATTTCACCCTTAATGTTGTCCAAGGATAATGTGAATACAAATTCCTTATCATGATCAGTTTACGTTCCCAGGCTTTGTCAGTACTTAAGAAAATTCCTCCTCACCTCCAGGTTAAGATAGAGCTCCCCCAGGAAGAGAACAAATGCGTGGAATCGTTTCCGAGTCACTTCGTCACCTTTTGCAGCTTGATCTTTAACTTCATATTCAGTCCGACATCTAATGAAGATACACCTTTTATAATTGCACACTGCTTTGTTTTGTGAACAAACAGGATGACCAGCTGTCGGGTTCGCAGTCCGCAAGCAATACAGAGACAAGTACCATGCACCAATGCCCTGACTTTCTGGAGTAAAAAGTGTTCCTGTCTATTGTAGAGACCAGAACAGGCATCATCTTTTTATACTAAGATTCCTAGTTGTAAGAAACTAACGGGTTTATTTTCAACTACTCTTATCAGATCAAGTTTGTAATCTGTTTAAGCAACATAGGTTTCATGAGGTTCATTGCATACTGGCGCCAAAAAGAAAGAAAATGCCTCACCTTTGTTTTATTGGCTTTTTGTCAAGAAAGCAATGTTTTGTATTTTTTTAAAGCATTGTTTTAACTCAAACTGTCTCTGTAAAATGTTCTATTCTGAATATATGAACTTTGAAACATATCTTTAAATATATATATAGATGGTCTCCAACTAAGCTGAAAATAAAATGAACTCTTATTAAGCCCATTATCCTTAATTTCCATTATACAAATCAGAGAAAAGAAGGGAAAGGTCCCCAACTGAAATTCACATAGAAACAGAAAGCAATTAGTTTGGTCTCAATATCCCAGAGACCAAAGGAGTCATATAACTTAGTTTCCCTTGCTTTATTTTCCCCCCGACTTGGCCCATCTGCCATCCTATAAAGTATCTAAAACCATCACCATAAACCTGTCATTGCCCATTTCAGTGAATTATGGTGTCAGCTGTTATTAAAAAGGATTTTTTAAGGGGCGCCTGGGTGGCTCAGTAGTTAAGTAGTTAAGCGTCTGCCTTCGGCTCAGGTCATGATCCCGGGGTCCTGGGATCAAGCCCCATATTGGGCTCCCTGCTCAGCGGGAAGCCTGCTTCTCCCTCTCCCATTCCCCTTGCTTGGGTTCCTGCTCTTGCTATCTCTCTGTCAAATAAATAAAATCTTAAAAAAAAAAAAAAAAGGATTTTTTAAATGTACTTTAAATGTTTACGTTCTTGGCGTTAAATATTTATCTTTATTGATAACGTGGTGAAAAAACTCAAGGAAAGTCATGTGTTTTGTAAAGCTGATTTTTGACAGTTCTGTTAAAGACAAAAGGAGGGATTTATGGAGACTGAATGGATTCCATGTATGAGGGACCAGTTTAGCTTCGCTTTGTAAAAAAAAAATAAGTAAATTTTTTAAGGAAAAAAGAAGTCACTGCTTACCAAGAATTTACCTTGGGTCAATCTGTGAATCATCCATAAACCCAGGATAATTTATGTCTATGTGGCCTATAGCTTACAAGCTATATTAAATGAGCAATATTTTCATTTGAATCAGATATAGTAAGTTATTTGTTACCGTCTAAACATTAATTTTTTTTTTTTTTTTTAAGATTTTATTTGTGAGAGAGAGAGCGCACACATGCGTGAGAGCTCAAGCACAAGCAGGGGGAGCGCGAGGCAGAGGAAGAAGCAGGCTCCCAGCTGAGCAAGGAGCCCGATGAGGGACTCGATCCCAGGACCCCCAGATCATGAACCGACCCAAAAGCAGATGCTTAACCGACTGAGCTACCCAGGCATCCCTAAACATTAATTCCTCATCAGAAAAAAAAATTGGGATATCTATAAATGAAACACTCTGGCTAATAGAAAGGAAATTAATTAATGCCCATTTAGTTATCCAAGCACCTTATTGGCTACTCTCCCTTCACGACTTTATCGGTAGTTTTGATAAAATGACCTTTTTGTTTTATAAGTACAATGATTATTAGATTATACGTTAAGATATGTTCATTCAAGTGCAAAAGTAAATCCCTACCCCTGTATGTCATTAATTATCTAGATGAGAGGAACCTATACCTCTAAACTAACCCTTTTTAAATTAAAGATTTTTCAATTAGAAAGGCAATACATGCTTATTTCAGAAAGGTTAAAAAAACAGAAAAATATAAAAAACAAAGTCATAAAACCCAGAGATAACTGCTGTAAAGTAACTTTTCAAACTACATATATATTTAAGTTAATAGAATTATGCCCTGCTTTTTATTTGTTCAAGGACTAGCACTTCCATTAGTATCTTTGACAGTATTATAATATTATGGGAGCGCAGATGGGGTAGAGTCAGAAGAGACCTGGAAGAGTAGTTTTCAACCACGGCTAAAGTTCAATCACTTGGGGAGGTTTTAAAAAAAAACCGAGGCTCCACCTCAGTCCAATTACATCAGAATTCCCAGGAATGAGGACAGGGTCTCAGAGCCCTATTTTAAGTCTCTAGAGTGACTTTAAGGCACAGCCAGAGGTGAGCAGCTCAAGGGAAAAGCAGCCAGCCTTTCTGCCATGCTACCTCCCAGAAGTACCCACTTTCACACCTTTCTAGGAGCTATACATCTAGATAAGGTTAAATAGCTTTTCAGAACTTTGTCATTTATATTTTTCCAAGTTTTACCTATTCAAAGACATTCCAAATATTTCTATTAAAATACTGGTCTTCTGGGGCGCCTGGGTGGCTCAGTCGTTAAGCGTCTGCCTTCGGCTCAGGTCATGATCCTAAGGTCATGGGCTCAAGCCCTGTGTTGGGCTCCCTGCTCAGCAGTGGAGTCGGCTTCTCCCTCTCCCCCTGCTCATGTGTGTGTGCGCAAATGCTCTCTCTCAAATAAAATCTTTAAAAGTAAAAAAAAAATTTAAAAACTGGTCTTTTTAAAGGCTCCTGGGTTGGGGGCGCCTAAGTGGCTCAGTCGTTAAGCGTCTGCCTTCGGCTCAGGTCATGGTCCCAGGGTCCTGGGATCGAGCCCCGCATCAGGCTCCCTGCTCCGCGGGAAGCCTGCTCTCCCTCTCCCACTCACCCTGCTTGTGTTCCCTCTCTCGCTGTGTCTCTCCCTGTCAAATAAATAAATAAAATCTTTAAAAAATAAAAAATAAAAAATAAAGGCTCCTGGGTGGCTCAGATGGTTAAGTGTCTTGTCTGCCTTTAGCTCAGGTCACAATCCCAGGGTCCTGGGATTGAGCCCCGTGCTGGGCTCCCTGCTCAGGGGGAGGCCTGCTTCTCCCTCTCCCTCTGCCCCACCCCCTGCTCATGCCTTCTCTCCCCCCCCCATAAACAAAGAGAATCTTAAAAAAACAAACAAACAAAAACTGGTCTTTTTCTTACTCATTCCTAAGAGGTCCCTCTTTTCATATTAGAGCTCATTGCCATGTGTTATACATTTCCCTAATTTTTCTTTACTTCATATAAATTTATGACCCCTCCCAATATTATAATCTATATGTAATTAGGTTTAATCTCTTGTTTTAGGATTTGTGGATATCATGTCTTGCTTAAAAGGGCTTTAGCAACCTAAGATTTAACTGTCAATTTCTCTTAGTATTTAGTGTTGCACTTTTAAGTTTTTTATAGATTTGAAATATATTTTGGTGTAAAGAGAGAGGAACCCATCTTTGTTTTCTCCCCCAACGAATGGCTAGCCAGTTGTGTCAGCAGCACTATTTACCCTTTACATACATATTTGGAGTATCTCCATCAAAAGCTTAATTTTCAAGTGTCTCTGGAGTCTACTTTTGGGATCTTTATTCTGTTCCAGTGCAGTTTAACCACATGATGGAATACTTTGCAACCACTGAAAGTATCTTTAAAGAATTAATGGACCAACTATAATAAACTCGAAGGCAACCTTGTTATTGAATAAAACAGCTCCCATAAGAAAATTAGTTTCCCTAAATTAGCTTTTGAATTCAAGGTCATGTCGAAAATAATACCAAAAAGATTCATGAAATTTCACACACAGATTCTAAAGTTCATTGGAGAAAAGCAGCATGCAAGAATAGCAAAGGAGATTCTACCCAAAAAATGTGGGAGGGGTCCAACAGTACTATATTTAAAAATTAGAGCTTTTTAGTAGTATCATAATAAAATAGGAATAGAACAAGTGATGAAAAGAATATAATGAAACTCTAGAATCAAAATCCAAATGTAAGGATGTAGTGTGATAAAGGGAGCAGTTCAACTCAATAAAGAAATGGATCATTCTAAAAAGTGGTATGGGAAAAACTAGTTCAACATGTGGCAATAAATTAGAACCTACTCAAACCAAAAGTACAGATGTAACTAAGAAATATGTAAGTGGGAGATTTTTAAGATCTTGGGAAATGAAAGGCCTTCTAAGCACAAAACCAAAGGCAGAGGGCACCTGGGTGGCTCAGTCAATTAAGCGTCCGCCTTCGGCTCAGCTCACGATCTCAGGGCCCCACATCGGGCTCCCTGCTCAGTGGGGAGCCTGCTTCTCCCTCTCCCTTTCCCTCTGCCACTCCCTCTGCTTGCGCTCTCTCTCAAATGAATAAATAAAAATCTTAAAAAAGAAAAAACCCAAAGGCAGAGATCATTACAGAAAAAAAAAGACCGATATGTGGGACTATAAATTTTTAACAGCATATACTAGAATACAAACAATGGTCCACCCTACCTTCCCCTGCAACCTTCTATAATGTACAGTCTTTAGAAGAGAGGAATGGTCAAATTCTAGTAGGTCTAAAAGTAGCTTTCCTTTAATTTCATATATTCACACTGACCTTTGAAGCAGCAACTGACGAAAGTTGCCGCTCTGTGGGCTAATTGTCAGATGATGGGACAGGTAATTACACAGGCGAGCTCCCATGTAAGAGAAATTTGGGATAGATGTGGCCTTTCAAAAAGAAAAAAACTTTTTTAGGACACAAATACATTGTTCTTAATGCAAATACTTAACAGCAACGTTCTAAAGAAGAAAACATTTCCTCCCCTAAAACTGACCACACTGTACAAATGTACAAGTCTTTTTTAGTTGTTAGGCATAAAGAAATTAACTCTCCCTCCCAACTTTACACCAAGAACAAGAACAAAGGAAAAATTTTGAGTTCTCCCCATCATTTACCTGAGGTCACCAAAAGCAAATAGACAAGACCTCTTTATACTAACCAATTTTTGCATAAGACAGGTGCATGTACCCAGTTGCATAGTGCTAATTATGAAAAGAGTATTTGCCAAACGATTGTTCTGTGGTCTTTTTCAGGGACAGACTGGCACAGACTTTGGCATCTAGCAGTCCAGAGCAAGATTCCCAGGCCTGCACTGAGACCTTGGACATCACTCAACCTCCCTGGGCTTCCATTTGATTCCTAAAAGAAGTGATAAATGGTACCTGGTACAAGAGATTAACACTTAAAGAATACTCCAAACATACTTGGGGGTAAAGCAGAAATAAAGATAAGCTATTCCAAAAACTAAGACCATGAAAAAACACTACATATCAAAGATAGTTTGATATAGCCAAAACAGTACTCAGGAAGTTTTAACTTTAATTGTAGTTTTTAAAGAATAGTAGAGAACACAGTTCACTACCTAATATTAGGTAGCATATTAAAAGGTAAAGGGACCTGACCAAGGTTACAAAGATAGTAGCTAACCATAATCTAGATATAACAAATGGCCTGAGGCCTCTCTGACCCTTTGCTGGGTCTACTTACCAGCTGTGGTAACCTTAGCCAAGTCCCTTAACCTCTGTTAAGATATGTATAAAATAAGGGATAAAAGTAATATCTTCAACCATGGAGGATTAAACGAGTTAATTACATGTCAGGTGTTACCTAGCATGTAGAAAATACTTCATAATTACTAGGTCTTTTTATTTCTGATTATTTCCTTGCTTGCAAAGACAACAGACTGGTTTCTCCTGAGATCATTCATGGATGTGTATCTGGTACCACAGAAGACTTGAAATTCAAAAATCATCCTTTTCCCATTATGGGCATTGCCTGTTTTCCTTTAGTTTACTTTTAAAATTATCACGCACAACTTAAAGACAAGAAGTTCTACAAGGCTTGTTATTAAAATTTCATACTTCCCCACTATACCTCAACTTCACTCCCATGGACAACCATTTTCAATTCCTTCAGCTGAAAATCAGGTTTCAACCTCTGTATCTCCATGCTTTGTGATTTCAGTTTGGACATTATTTCTTACTAGTTTCCCTCCATGGACAAGGAATATCCAGCTTTCACCTTGCTTACCCTCACTCCTTTCCACTATTTGCCAATCTTTCCGCCTACCAACATGGTCATACTATGATTTGATTAGTTATATGTTTCCTTTTACAGCTGGACCATGTAATATATGGATTTCTACTTTCTTGCACAACTTTGTTTTCCCTAGACTTAAATTTTCTCTACTCTGTTCTTTACTTACATCTTATTGATTTACCCCTAAACTCGTAAGTTCCCAAGTTTCTTCTTAATACATTCAAACACAGCAATTATGCTCATCTTACCAGGGAATCTTGCCTGGAGCCTTCTGCCCTACTCCAGTGAAGCCCGGCTATTGTCTTGGGATCTCCTTTCACTACCATCTAGATAATCCATTTAGCCATTCCTATAAAATTCTGTTTTCTAGTTTTTACATCTTCATCTCTGGCTTAATTTCCTCTTTTTGGTGGAGTACTTCCCTTCAATAACTTCTCAAGAAGGGTTGTAATAAAACTTCAAACCAGATACTCAGTGCAAAAAGATGTAGAGGGTCTAGTTTTTGGGGGGTTTTTTATTTGTGTTTTTGTTTTATTTTGTTTTGGGGGGGTTTTTTTGTTTAATATTTTAAAGCTATCCTTTTAGTGTCATTCCATTCTTGTCCTAGAGTCTTTCAGAGATTCCACACAGTAAATCAGGGTGATTTTCAACTTTCCCCACTGGCTTGGAATTCAAATTTTTTTTTTAGATCTGCCCACCTGCTTTCTAGTCTCTAAGACTGGTACTTTAATCTCTTTCCCTCATGTCAGTCCCTACAGGGTTCTGGCTTCTTAAAATCCCCTTCATTTTTGTAGTGGTATTTGGGGAGGAATCAAAGTTGAATATGTATGTTTAATTGCCATTTTTATAACAGGTCTTCTTTTGTTAGTTGCTAGGAGTAAATCCCCCAATGAAATTTAAGAACTGTTGGTGAATCTGTGTATCACTGACACAGAATATTGATAAATAGGGAGTACATATTTGAAGAACTGGCTTTGAGACAATCACAGAAACTAGTTTGTTACATTACAGCCCTGAAGACTAGAACCAGGCAGCCTACGAAGAGCTGAAACTGAAGAGAAGAGAAATCAGAAAAGCACTAACAATTTCTCCATTTTCTTCTCATATTCCTTTGCAATCCATTTAGAGGCCAAAAGTAGGTATCAGGACAAATGGAGCAATTCTATACTCCTAAAACCTCAAGCATGTCCAGAAACCTGAGAGTTGGACAGGTAATACTGGGGTCCAGTAACTATCCAGAACAAGCTGTGAAAGTAGTCAAATGAAACACTAGGTAGGATGAAAATTACCTACTATCATAATCACCCTTCCACATATTCCAAATTCAAGTTGCTCTTTCAGCAATGACTTAAAGAACACTTAAGTTTCTATTTCTATTTATCTCCTACTGTTTTTGGTCAGTTTCAAACAGTGCCCTTAAATCTGTCTTCAAAATCCAGTGTTGTCTATCTCCCCCACTGAAAATAGCATTAATGTGTCACAGACCAATACGCTAGGATCAAACCTAAATTTTCTGTGAACAATCTAGACAGACAGACTTATGGAATTAAGATGTAAATCCTCGGAAATTTAAAATAAACATAAATGTTAAGACTCAAGACAGTGTTTTGTGGTCTAGCTTTTTTTTGGGGGGGGGGTGCTCCTTTGTGAGGATGAAGGAAGTTCTCCCATTGATTTTTTTTTTCCTCCCCTACTCCAAAAGTGCTATATAATTTGATACCGAGGAAAACAGAATTGCACTCTGTGTACTGTTAATTTCAGATCCTGTAAAAACATATACTTACCTAGCCTCCCTCATAAATGTCCAACATTCCTTCCAACTGCCTGTACAGAGCCTTGAATCTCCAGTCTGGCTCTAGCCCCTAGATCCCCAGCTACAGGAATTTCATACAACAGAGACTTAAAAGCTCCCATGAACCATAAAAAGTTAAGAAGCATGGAGGCCAGTGAACATGAACGTGTAGGAGCAACCACCACCCCTGGGCTTCAGGAAGCTATCTGATGATCACCTGCGGCATCAGCCAACCTACCTGTTGATAGATGAGTTCTACAAGTTCTTGCAAAGCATCATCTGTTGTAACCCAGCCATTCAGGGTCTCTGCAAACTGTTCAATTTCAGTTTCAAAACTGCCAGGCTGCTCTGTAAGATGATTCAAAAAATCCTGAACATATTCTGATAGAGTAGGATAATCCTCACAACCATCTTCATAGGATTCCTATAGATGAAAAGTTTTAAAAAAATGTTTTAATCCATGCAACGGGCTAAAATAAACCTGAGGCAGCTTTAAGGTGAGTAGTCTCTAGCACAAATGATTCTTCACATGATAAAATTTGTTATTTTCCTCAATAAAATTAAGCCCACTGAATCATTCTTCCTCGCCCAATGGCCAACGTGTTACATTATAGCAGAAGGACTCCATCTAACTGGGTAGGAAATTGTCTTTTCATTCTGGCAGATTTACAAGACAACCGAGAAAATTTAAACCAATATTTCACTATAATACGGACATCAAAATTTTGATCTATTTATGGGTATAACATCTGAGATCTGCTTCAAAGTGGGAAGGAAGAAGGGGCCAGGGATAATAGAAACAAGAATGGCCACAGGTAGCTAACTGTTGAGGCCATGGGGATTCATTATACCCTTCTCGTACCTTTTTTTTTTTTTTTTTTTTTAAAGATTTTATTTATTCATTTGAGATACAGAGATAGAGAGAGAGAGAAAGCATGAACAGGGAGAGAGGGAGAGGGAGAAGCGGGCTCCTCGCTGAGCCAGGAGCCCGATGTGGGGCTCGATCCCAGGACCCTGGGATCATGACCCAAGCCGAAGGCAGACGCCTAACCATCTGAGCCACCCAGGCGCCCCCCTTTTTCGTACTCTTAAAGGTATTTGAGAATTTCTATATTGGGGAGGAAAAAAAGCTAGTAAGACTTGTCATCTGTTAATCCCCAAAGACAGTGAAATATATATAGTTAAGGGACTATAACATTTCCCCATAGTACATTGTGGCAGACTGCTATATCCAGCCTTCTAGCCAACCTTGACTGGAGTAGTTTCCAGCTAATGTTTTACCACTATCACCTTTGGTAGTTCCCAATTTTTTAATTAATGGCTGGAGGCTGAACAGGGGGAGGACTGCAAAAGGTATCAGATTATCAACCCTATACTTGCAATGCCTGGAATACTAACCAAGCATTCTGAAATTTACTTAACAGTTATAATTTAATAATAACTATATTACTGATGAAAGTTACCCTTTTCCAAAGGAGTCAAATGAGAAACCACATGAAAGAATTATGACCATAATATAAAAGCATTTTATGAAGGGGTTAAGTTCTAAAGCCAGTGAGTGCATAAAGAAAAAATAAAATCACACCCAGTCCAAATTCCCCTTAGGAAAGCTCCATATTAGATGAATACACAATCTTAGTAGAAAGGCTAATCCAACCAGTTGGTCCTACTATTTTTTCAGCTGACCACCACTTAGAGGCCATGTTATGCAGTTTTTATGTATTTCCAGACATTAAAGTGATACTACTTACCATGACAAACTGCATGTGCTATCACAGGCACTAAGGAAATAGAACCAACTGCAGGAAGAGCGGACTCATGTGCCTGTATCATGCTCACAGTGTTTGCTGAGTGGAACAGGTAAACGGACAGATTAAATGTCTAAGCTCAAAACTGAATCCAAATTAAATGACTCCACTCTAAGGGCGCCTGGCTGGGTCAGCTGGTAGAGCAAGGGACTCTTGATCTCAGGGTCCTGAGTTCGACCCCTACACTGGCTACAGAGATTACTTAAAAATAAAAATTTTTTTTTTTTTTTAAAGATTTTATTTATCTATTTGACAGAGAGATAGACAGAAGAGCACAAGCAGAGGGAGTGGCAGAGGGCTAGGGAGAAGCAGGCTCTGCACTGAGCAGGGAACCCGATGCGGGACTCGATCCCAGGACCCTGAGATCATGACCTGAGCCAAAGGCAGACGCTTAACCATCTGAGCCACCCAGGCGCCCCAAAAATAAAAATTTTTTAAAAGACTCTAAAATAAATTAACATTGACGAAATTCAAATTTATTCATCATAAACATTACAGCTATGTGACAGAGAATTAAATGAGTTAATGAGTAAATGCCCCTGGACCAGTGAATAGCACACAGTAAGGCATTAAGTCAGCAAATCTTTACATTTCTGGGAAAATACTAAAACATATTCCAATGCCATAGCTGTGTTCTCATACCTAAAGGATCATATCTAAAAGCATCTAAAAATAAAAAGCTATGCTTCTTGGTATGTAGGATGATACTCTGATTAATGAGCTAATAGCCACCAATTGCCTGTAAAATATGGGACAGTCACTTTAAGAGCTCTGCAAGGCTGCCTCAATCCCAAAAAACTCTGAAGCAAGCATTACTGTTCCCTGTGCACAGATGGAAGAAATGAGCACAGAGCAGTTAAGTCACTTTGGTTATTCATTCAAAACCCTTCACTGAGTGCCTGCTAAGTGCCAAATACTGTTCCAGGTGCTGGGGGTACGGTCTTGGCATGAATAAAGGAAACAAAGTCCCCCTCCAGTGGAGCTTATCTTCCATCACAGAAGACATCATTCAGATCTTAGAATATACTAAGAAAAAAAAATGGGCTGAAACTAATGTAACACTGTATATTAACTATACTGGAATTAAAATTTTTAAAAATAAGAACAGAGGGACGCCTGGGTGGCTTAGTTAAGCGTCTGCCTTCAGCTCAGGTCATGATCTAAGGGTCTTGAGATCGAGCCCCACATTGGGCTTTCTGCTCAGCATCAGAGTCCACTTCTCTCTCTCTGATCTCTCCCTCTGTGATCTCTCTCGCTTTCTGTCAAATAACTAAAATCTTAAAAAAAAAAAAAAAAAAGGAAAAAATGGGAAGAATTCTGAAGAATTAACATCTAATCTGAGAAAAAAGAAAAAAATAAAACCAAAAAACCCAGTCCTACAAATACCTAAGGAGAGAGAGTCTATATAGTAGGCTCAAGAAGCACGTAGGCCCCAAGGAGATAGGTGCTTACCTGACACCTTTGAGAAAGAAAAGCCAGAACACAGAAACTGAAGATGGGGCAATAGTTAACATTATCAATGAAGCAGATGGGGAAACTGTGTAGGGTCTTGGGGACAACAGGGAGACTGCCTCAAAAGCCAGTGGAAAAACCATCGGGCAAAGGCATAGAAGCTGGGGTATGAACAAGGAAGGACCATGTACCAACTTAAGTAATTTGTAAAGTCACACAGCTAGTTAGAAGAACTGAGCACAGAACAAACCCTGTACTTCTAACCTCTATGCTATACTCCAAGTAACTGACAAAGGCTTATAACCCAACCTTGACATATGTACGAGAAAAATCCATCTAACAATCTATCAACAAAGAACTGGTTAAATATACCAACTTATATCCACATAATGGATCATATAGTCACCTGACAAGATATATTTATATCAATACAGAAATCACCAATATGTTAAAACGAAAAGAACACAGAACCATTATTCTAGTACAGTTTAATTTTAAGAGATGTATAGACTATGAAAAGCTCTGGAAAGATAGACAAGGGATAAACAGTAGTTAGCCCTGGAGTAAATAAATGCTCATATTATGAATAATGACCATTTTTTATAAAATTGTGAAACCAGTTAAGCATTATAAATGTATACATTAAATAGTTTAATATTAGCCAGGTACATATGTGAGTTTCACAATTAAAAATTAGTTTTTGATATATAGTTTTACAGACTTGTAGTGTCCCTATTAATAAGAGAAAAGAAGGAACCCTACAGGTCCCAACTGAAGGTATTAATGTCTGATTTCTATCAAATGTCATCCACTGTGGCAAAAATGCAGTCTGGAACACTGATTTGTAGTCTTTTCAATAAGACCAATTCTCTTGTAAGAAAATTTGAAGTCTGGGGGCGCCTAGGTGGCTCAGTTGGTTAGGCATGAGACTCTTGATTTTGGCTCAGGTCATTATCTCAGGCTTGTGAGGTAGAGCCCCGTGCTGGGCTCCCTGCTCAGCAGGGAATCTGCTGGAAATTGTCTCTCTCCCTCTACTCCTCCCTCCGCTCGCATGTGCACATGTGTGCACGCTCTCTAAAATAAATCTTTAAAAAGAAAATCTGAAGTCTGAAAGTAAAAAAGGAAAGCAGAGCTGCTCTAATTGTAAGCATTACAGGGGATTGATCAAGGTGGTGCCTGGCTGGGTCAGTGGAGCAGGTGACTCAATCTCAGGGTCGTGAGTTCAAGCCCTAGGTTGGGTGTAGAGATAACTAAAAATAAACAATGACAGGGAATTGACCAGAGCCTGTTGTTTCAAGCAAAAAAGGAAGCACAGCATACTGTGGACAGACGAGGACTCTAACATGTTTGAGTTATTTCTCTAGTACCAGATTTTTTAGAGTACAAATTTTGTCAGTCTTTAAAGTGGAGTTAGATGGCTTGCAAGCTGAGGAATATTTAAAGTTTTATGTATTTTTCTTAGAATTCTGACAAGATATTAGGAGGAACATCAGATAGAAAACATACTTTTCATGGAAGATACTCTGAATGCGTTGCTAGAGATCTAAAGCAGCAGGAATAAAAGGAAACTAATCTGACACTTAGATGGTGGAATAATCAAGACTACTTTAGTTAACTGGATTGAAGGGGGCAAGAGTGTGAAAGAAATGTGAGTCAACACACCGTTTTTTTAGCCTGAGCAGCTAGTTAGAATATAAAAAAAAAGTTTGCAGAAGATAAATTCTTTTTTATACTTGAGTTTCAATGGGAGATCCTCATGAACAAGTCAAAACAAATGGAAACACAAGCCAGGAGTTCAGAGGGAGAATCAGATTTCAGGTATCAGTAGACAGGCAATGGTCAGATTCTAGGTGATAGGATCACCAAGGCAGGTAATAAAATGGAAAAAAGAGAACCTCAGGGACTACAATCTGAGAGAAGGAATGATCTGCAAGTTGCAAGGATGAAGAACCGCCACAGTGCCCAAAGGAAAAAGGAGAGGTGCTCACAGAAGCAAATGCTACAGAATAATTTTACACGTTGAAACCTGAAAGAACAATGGTTGCAGTCCTGGAAGTGAAAGACTATGCACAGAGAGGAAAAAATTAAAATTAGTATCTTAACTATTCAGTTCTTATAAAGAGAAACTTCTAAAAGACTGAAAAGGTACCCTTGGCCCCTAGCACAGGACCTGACACACTGGAACTTGTTACACTGCATAGATCATACTGTGGTCAAAGTCTACTAGGATAGGGATTGAGAGAACAATAGATTTTCAGACCCAAAGAGCACCAGTAAAGGTCACAAAAAGTAGTATCAATTCAATTAGGGGGATCAGTCAGCGGAGGTTTGAACAGTGAGAAGTAAATACTAACCGTGAATACTTTTAACTTTTACATTTTGGAGAACATCACTATTGAAAGGCAGAACACAAACAGGCAGTAACTTGAGGGGAATGTTCTTAGAAAAAAGCTGGAAGAGATGGGGGGGGATTTTGGTCTCTTAATAAATGCCTTTTTTTTTTTTTTTTGAAGATTTTATTTGTTCATTTGACAGAGAGAGAGCACAAGCAGGGGGAGCAGCAGAGGAAGAAGCAGGCTCCCCACAGAGCAGGGAGCCCAATATAGGGCTCGATCCCAGGACTCTGGGATCATGACCCGGGCTGAAGGCAGACACTTAACCAACCGAGCCACCCAGGCGCCCCTTAATAAATGCTTTATGAATTCCTATGTAGAATTTTTGGTTCTTGTAAGTGAGCTGTGATTAAATATTCAAGATGTAATGGTTTATCATCAGGAAGAAGCAATGGGCAGGAGTAGATAGATACAGCAACTCCCTGGTAAGAAGGCACGGAAAGCAAGAAATTCTAGCAGTGGGATTACAGGAAGGACTCTAAGATAAAAGGGTTCAGAATTTTGGAAGGGTTAAGAAAGCACAACAAAAGACTATCATAAAGGCTTTTTAGAAAAAAGCATGAAATCTTGGGGTGCCTGGGTGGCGCAGTTAGTTAAGCAGCCAACCCTTAGTTTCAGCTCGGGTCATCATCTCTAGGTAGTGAGATCGAGCCCTGTGTTGAGCTCTGCCCTCAGTGCGGAGTCTGCTTGGGACTCTCTCTCCCTCTCCCTTTGCCCCTCCACCCCATACTCCTTCTCACTCGCTCTCAAACCTTAAAAAAAAAAAAAAAAAGCATGAACTCTTGTGAAGAGATCCAACTCAAAGATACCCAGATTTTCTTATAAATATAAAAGCAGATTCAAGGCATTTCTGTCCATTTTGTTCACTGCTATATTTCCAGTGGTAATTGTCCAACTTCCTGTTGAATGAGTGAGTGAATATAGCTAACTCTGGATTATGGCTACTACAAAGAGAAGTCTCCCTCACAACAAGACCTTATCCTAAGAGTCAAGGGAAAAACAAGGATATTGCTATTCTGTGACTAAGTAGACAGAGAAAAATGCTTAGCATTGACAGAGGGTAAAAGGGTAAATGAATAAGACTAGACAGTGCACGAGGGCAGAGGTAGCAAGCTTGAATGACTATAGAATCAAGGTGGAATACAAACAAATGAGACAAGCCAGTGAGCAATTAGAGCTCACACATTCCATCTAAGGGGGCTGCGTCCATTCAGCTCCAGACAATCTTTGCTCTATCAAAGTTAACAGTCCGGGGGCGCCTGGGTGGCTTAGCTGGTTAAGCATCTGACTTGATTTCAGCTCAGGTCATGATCTCAGGGTGGTGAGACTGAGCCCTGCCTCGGGCTCCATGCTCAGCTCAGAGTGAGCTTGAGATTCTCTCTCCCTCTTCCTGTGTCCCTCCCCTGACTCGGGCTCCCGTTCTTTCTCAGTAAATAAATAAATAAATAGTCTGGCACAAACACATATTAGGATTTCAAGAGAAACCAGAAAATTCAGATTTGCAACATCTATTTAAGTGTTGGTAGCTTATTAAAAGGTGCCCTCCCCCCCAAAAAGATACACCTGCAGGCCACACATGAGTCATGGGCTCCCAGTATGCAATCTGCTCTGGCGGACTGAACAAAGAAGCAGCTGATCTAACAGAGGATATCAAGGAATGCCTAACAGAGGACAGTGGCTCAAAGTAAGTGAACGTGGCTCAATACACTGCTCTGTAGCCCAGGAGTCACTTGAACTATGTAGAACTATGTAAACTAGTTTAGTACAGACTCTGAAAAAAAAAAAAAAAATTGCATCCCTCCTATCATAAAATGGCCCAGGTAAATAGGGAGACAAAGAGAAAAGTTTTGTGGCTCTTTGAAAGTAAGTACTCTTTACTATTTTATTCAACTACTCACAGCTCTCTAATCATTCCTTTCCTGAGCCAAATACAAGCTGTTCTCACTTCTACTTTACATGACTGACAGCCCCTTTCACCCCAAATCAACTGCTCTTCCTGCTTGCCTATACTTTCCCCTTCCCAGCCCCAAAGCTTTTTCCTGGGCAGTCTAAGACGCATGGAGTTTCTGAAACATAAAATACAGCTTTTCCATACCTTTCCTTTCAAAAAATGGAAGGAAAGCACTGGCCCCCAGCCCCAAGAAGTAACAAAGCGGGTGTACCACCGTTAGTTAACAGGTAAATATAAATTAAAACCAGAAGTAGATGCCACACACCCACCAAAATGGCTAAACTTAACAGAAAATTCCAAATGCTGACAAGGAAGCAGAGCAATTGGAAATCACACACTACTCAGAATGTACACTGGAACATCTCTTTGGAAAACTATTTGACAGTCTCTCTTAAAGTTGGCTACCAGGGCACTTTGATTCCATTAGGTGTAGAGATATAGAGATCATTTAAAAGTAAAATCTTTGGGGGGGGGGGGGAGGAGAAGAGTTGGCTACCCTATGTCCTTGTGATTCCACTCCTAGGTATGTACCCAACAGAAACAAGGGCAAATAACCATCAAGACATGGATAGACAGACTAGCAGCCCTATTCACAATAGCCTAAAAGTGGAAACTACTCAAGTGTTTATCAAGAGACAAAGCAGAAGAAGAAAAAAAAAAAAGACAAATGGGACTGTGGTATATTCACACAGTGGAATGCTAGGAGAGTAAGTCACCTTCAACTATGAGCTACAAGGTGGATTAATTTAGATGTTCAATAAAATTGTGCAAAGATATTCTGTAGGACTCCAATTATATAAACTTTGAAAACAGGCAAAATTTGTTAAGTCAAAATAGTTAACTAACCTAGGAGAGCAGTAATGATTAGAAGGGGTTGGAAAGAGTTTTCGGGATGCAGATGACATTCCTTTTCTTGATTTGGATGCTGGTTGCCTAAATGTTCACTTCGTGAAACTTTGAGCTAACCTTTATGTACACTATTCCGTGTTAAATGTCAATAAAACTAAGAAATTAGGAAACATAAGACTTCTGCTAAAGTATCATCATTTCTTTAACCCTCTAATGGTTCCTGCCCCACTTATATACAATTAATTGCTATGCATTTACCCAGGACACATTCCTTTCTATATATCCCAGTTGTGCTTTGTATTTTCTCCCACTGAAGAAAAATGTGATCAATTTTTTTAAGTTCTTATACTGACAAAGATGAATCTGAAAGTTTAAAAGTTCTTTGGACCTGTGTAAACACTTTATCAAAACCCTTTATATTTCTTCATAACAGTAGTTAATTAGAACCAGAAACACTTCTGTTTTAACAGAGCCCAGATGTGTAACATTCAAAAGCCTACCTCAAATTAGTCTGCAGCAAAACCATGGTTTAATTTACCCTAAATTTACCCTAAATGAATATTCAGCTATCTTGCTAAAATCAAATTTTAAGTCAGCTTTGCCAGGCCATTATTCTATAGATTGTCCAATAAGTCTGAACACAGATTTTAGTTTTATATATTGAAAGCGCCCTTAACCATATCCTGTATTAGCCTAGAAATACTCTAAATTTAGATACTGGGAATACAGCAGTGAAAAGAGACAAGGTCTACTCTCAATTTACATTCTGATATTTAAAACATGATAACTACAAAATATATTCCTGAATCAGTTTTGGTTCCTCATGAGTTCAAAGAATTCATAATAAAAGGTTTTTATGTGTAGTAGAAAGCACCAGCATACTGATAATAAAATACAGTAATAACCACATTATCCCAGTAATATTAACTCAGAATTGTGGTAAAAAGGCCTACTTACTGTATAATTAGAAGAATAACCTGATGGGTAAAATTCAGGAGCATTCGCAGACAGTTTAGACATTAACACAGGAGCTACAACCACCTGGGGTTTAGCCATTGCTGACTCCAAGTTCTGCTGTGGGATATTATCCTGTGAACTAGGTGGAGCTCTCAGGGGCCTCGTTTGTTCTGAGAAAGGAAAAATGAGGTGTTAGACGCATTCCTTCCTTTGTATAGCAACTTACTATCTCCTGAAAAACCAAATGAGAAGGGCAGGTTTTTAAGAGTTAAACGAGAACGGTCACGAATTTTAAGGTCAACGCCAGGATTTTTAGAGAGCCTGCAAAAAGGAACAATAGACTTGCTTTAGCTCATTTGTGGCTATACCTGCCTCCTAAATGAATGCTTGAGGGCTTTCTTTCCTCTTTTCTTAAGGAGTCGATTAAAAAGAGGTGGTTGCTCGCCTGAGGTCTCCCTTTCCAGGGCTGGGAGGGGGAGGCGATTTTTACTTCCTCCCCGGACGGCCGAACTCGGAGACCGCGCACTGGGCCCCTCCCCCAGCCGGGGCGCACAAAGGATTCCTGCAGCCACCTTCCAAACCCGTTCCCGGCCCGTCCCCACCCCGTTAACAACTGGGCCCCTCGGGGAATGCTTTCGGGGAACGGGGGGGGGCGGGGAACAG